CCAAACGGAAAATGCTCCTTTTTCATCTGAATTTTCAACCTCGACAGAAAACAGCCGTAGGGAAACATCATCCACCTCTCAGACTACTAGTGAAATAGTATATCAAACCTCTGAAGCAGATACATCAGGAAGCCCAGGAACAACCACATCTCAAAATTCTCCATCCAAAACAAGCTTGTCATCAAGTAAAAGCACAGATCAAACAAAAGAAAATTCTTTCACTGGTATCATCACCTCTGATGAATCACATGGTTCAATAACAGAGTTTTCAACACACGGAAATTTTATATCTACTGAGACAACAAACAAGATTTCATTTTCAGAAATGGGTTCATCAACTACAGAACCAGAAAGAAGCACTACTAACCAATACTCAGAAATAACAACTGAGATGTCTCACACAAAACCAGAAAAAACAGACACAAGCAAAGGCCCTATGGAAACCTCTACATCATCAACTACCATGGAAAGAAAAACATCTCAAGAGAAAACATCTGATTATTGGCAAACAACACCAAATAGAGGTAGACAAACAGAGCAAGTATCTGTAAGTCTCACTGCAACACAACAAGGAACAACTATAAATGATAATACTGAACAATCAGAAACAACTATTAGCCCAATCCTTACTCAAGTTGAAACAACTGCAACTCAAAATCCGTCTGAATCAGTTACAATGACAAATGAAAATCTGCCCTTCAAAGATTCAACAACTAGTCACTTTAAACAAAAGTCAACTACAAATGCAACAGATAACATTCAAACAGAACAACAAACCACTCCTGAGAGCATATCACAATCAGAAACAATAAATCCGAATGAAATAACTAGCCAAACTTTGGTGGAAACATCTAGTGAAACTCAGATCCATTATGAGCAAACCACCTTTGCAAATACAGAAGCTACCCCACACTATTCTCTTAGTGGACAAACTGAAACAAAAAATGAGAACAATAAATACACGGGAACCACAGAACATGCATTTTCTTCTTCAATTAGTCCAGCAAGCTCCACTGGGATTGCAACAAATTTTACTCCAAACAGTTCTTCACAACCAATGTCCAATACATTGACAACAGGAATTAGTGGCTCTCTGCTTCTGTCAACAAGTCAAACATATACAGAACAGGCGACAGGTCAAGTTGAGACAACCACACAAAAAAATATACCAACCACAATAGAGGAACAACTGGGAAATATCACAACAGGGCAAAAACCAAGCATTTTTTTGACACATTTGGATACCACAACAAATGCTAAGGTGCTGATTTCCACACTGCAAACAACAGATATGAGAGAGCCAACTAAACTGACCACTGAAGTGGCTAATGAAAGCACTGCAGTAATAGACCATGGCATTACTCCATTAAGTTCAACCACTATAACCACTTCTGAAAATGTGAAATCGACTGGAACTCCAAGTCATCAAACATCAACCTTACCATCTAGTACACCATCTAATGATTCAATGACAACAGGCTCCATAAAAACTATAACATTAAATTCAAATCTAACAAGAATATCTCCAGGAAAAATTAAAGGAAGCAACCTTACCACTGCAAATTCCTTTACACAGAGAGGAACTACAGAATCTGTTACTACTGATCATCTATTACTCACTAATACAACATTAACTTTGACAAAAACTACTAATTCAGCTTCAACACCATCTTCACCATCTTTTACATCAACCATGAACACATCTTTTAGTCCCATTTTGAACCCAGTGACAAGTGTAGCAAACCAAAAAAATTCAACTGACATACACTACACAGATAACAGAAGTGCATCACATGGGATTAATCAGATTTCTACTGAGAGCAGAAATTCTCAGCCAACATCAGAAAAATTTGTGCAGACAACAGAAAGAGTAGAAACTACAGTCACCATTCCAACTAAACAAACAATGAAGACAACTGAAAGAATGACCACACAGACAAGTGAAATGAACACTCCTACTCACAAACTAACCACCAAATCAGTGTACTCAACAGTCTCACACTCAACTAATCAAGTGCATAGTGCTCTTGTCCTAGGGACCACTCAACTAATGAACACAAGCTCCACAGCATCAGTATCTAAAGGGATACCTGTCACCATCAGTGAGAACACGCCAACTAATTCCACTAATCAGTCTCTCGCCCAGAAAACCTTGTCTGAGTCCATGAAGACTAGCATTGCAGCTATTGTGGCCCCCATTCTTGCTCTGCTCATCATAAGCTGCCTGGGATTTCTAATTTTTGCTGGAATCAAACGGAGTTTGTTAAACAAGATAACTGATAAGATTCTTTGCTCCAATGAAGAAGACTTTTTTATGCCAACTAAAGAGTTTGATCAAGCTAAGCCAATGTTTAATAGAAAGGTTAAGAGTGGTTACAGTGTTTTTGTAACAGAAAATGATGATTATTGTAAGGACAATTAAAGAAATGTGTTTATAATGAATATGTATAATAATTATAAAATGTAAAAATGGTTTAGAAAAATACCATGAGCTTATCTTAATGTTCAAAAATGCAAGTTCAATGTTAGTAAGGTTGTAGCTTTTCAAGATTTAAATAAATATATACAAAATAATTCATTTTCTATGTTCACAAAAGAACAACTTGACTCTTTACAAAAATCTCCTTAAATTGACAGAAAGTAATCAACAATGGTTAACAACCAGACAAATAACTGAAATTCACAAATACACTGTATGGAGACTGTGTGATGGTATACTGAAATAAAGGCCATAGAATGGGTCTTTTCAAAAAATCTGTTAATCTTGCTGAGTAATACATTACAACACTGTTAATCAATAAACTGTCAATTAATATCGCCATTACCATGAAAATGTTAAAATAAATTGCGGATACTCAAACACAGTCAATGAGCATGAATTCCAATTTTATCTGAAACATGTGATTCGTGTTGCATCCTCTTGGCTGATTATTAATGCAATAACTTGCATTTACGACCGGATTTGTAAACTTCAGACAAGTGCACCCTGGGAAGTATCATCAATACATTGCATTAGCACTGTTGATCTAGGCTTCTAAATCCGTGGAATTCTCTGAGCTTAAGAGAAATGAATTTCCGGACACCTATTCAAATCACTGAAAGCCAGAACAAACAAATCTTTTCATGAAAAAAGGTTTTATTCTGGGTTTTAGTTTTCATACAAATGCCTCTGTCCATACAAAGAAGTTTTTGGGAAAATTCCTTTATAGGAGAATATGCCTCCTACTTTGCTATCAAATATAGTTTTCAATGCAGTGACTCAGATGCTTAATGCTGCATAGAGGTTAAAAATAATAAAATTTTTACCTTTTTTAAGGTTCCAAAAATAATCAGTTCTAAATTGACTTTATTTTGAAATCTTATGTAACATGCATCATGTTGTTATTAAATTATATTTAATATCACTAATATTGTGATGATTATTAATCATTAGATTTAAAATATTATGTATTTAAAACTTCAATGAGCATATCCAGTAGTCATACAAAAACTTATTGCTCTTTATACTTTAACAAATTTATTATAAAGGTATTATGAATTACAGGTATAGCAAAGTAAATCCACAGGTTCCCATGAATTTGCTACAACTGAGTTTGACTATCTTAATGTCCTATCTATCAAACCAAAACAAACTACTTGAAAAAAATCGTAACAACAGTATCAATTTTTTAAAAAATTATAGTTAACTCATGATGCAATTCTTTTAAATGAATATTCATGATTTCATTTGGAACATATTATCAGAACTTTTTCAAAAGATTTAAAGAAAATGCTACGTGTTCCAAATATGTTAGTATTATAGCACCTTTTTGCAGGGAATCAGTCTTCAGAGAATCAGCAAAAATACTTATATAATAAAAAAAAAAAACCATTAGAAGTATAATAATTATTACTTAATATTCTTGTTTTACTTCTTTCAATTTTCCCATCACTAAAAACTATTAAGATTTTATGTCCCACATCATTATTGATTGAGAAAAAGAAACAAAGGCCAGATGACAAAATTACTAATATATTGTGTGTTACAATTCAAGTGTATTTATAAACACTGCAGGGCTCAAAATTTACATAATTATGCCCGTCATTCTGTAACTGATTATAATCCTGACAGACTGATTACATTTACTCAAATCAATCCAGCTGGACTGGTCAATTTTTTTAAAGCTTTAATTTGGAAAAACTCCCTTGTTTAATCTTTTAAAGTCACATATTTTGAACCAAGTATAAATAATAAGGGAAGCAGATGAAAGCTATATTAAAGATTTCAAATATGTGTTACGATATATGTATTGATCAAGGAATATAGAGTAAAAATCCTGTTGAGAATTAAAATTATGGTGCAAAAAAGCATACAAGTTTTTCCCTATTCCACATTCATTGAATTACACAAAAATATGCTTCACAATTTCTGGAAAACTCCAGACTGGTACATTTTCAGCAGATATCTGTCCAGCTGCGCTTGTGACAAAAAATATGTTTCAAGCCCTACTTTGACTAGTATTCGCTACCATCACTAATGTAATTCTATGTTTAATGATCATAAAACTCATCCATACTTAAAGTGCAGAGTATAAATAGCAAGAATTATCATTATAGTGTACACATAAAAAAAACGGTTTATTTTTCTTTGCTCATAAATCATAATAAAAGTACAGTGTGTTTACACTTCAAATGTTTCTGATTAATTTAAATCAATTGTATACTACAGTATGACATGATGAAAAGCTATTGCACTTTTTTTCTTAGATACCAAATGATAAATTATATAATTACAAATGTCAAATTAAAAAATCAGTTTTTTTTAATGACATAATTTTATCCAAATTCTTGTTAGTCTGCATTGTTCAGTATTTTTCCTTCAATTTCCTTTTTACTGATAAAAGATTAGACAAAGCTTGCCATACTGTTAAATACTGCGAGGTCAGATGTTCCAATCTATCAGCATTTGTCTCTGTGCTCAATTAGATACTTTTTCTCATGCCTTCTCTGTGGTGACTTACCCCAGTAGATAGGTCAGTCAGTGTCTGGGTCAACACTATGTTAAATACTGCATGAGATCTACTACTTTCGTTGTTCATGTTAGTGGCTGCTACAGTTCTAGACTTGTTCCCCTCATTCATCAGATTGTCAATGTCCTACAAATAGAAAAATATTTTAAGCATGTTTACCATATGAAGAGGCCTTTTTTTAAGGATATCCCTTAAAAATTGCTGGTGTTTGGAACAATTTCATGGACAGAAGTCTGTAATATAAGACATTTACATTTTAAAAAAATTCATTAAGGTTGTTAACTTGTGAATATAGTATAATGTGGAACCCTTGAAAATTGATTCAAAAGTAAGCCCTTTTTCTTTCTGGAAAATTTTTAAAAATTTCATTGCTCAAGCCAGATTTTTAAACCTCCCAACAGCGAGGTAAAGTGAATTTGCCCAGATTTTGATTTTTCTGCACATTGGAATCATATTAAAGCATCAATGGGACCATTTAGTCATTAATAATACTCATCAAAATATTATAATAATTAATTGTGAGTATTAACATTTTGGGGGATCTTATATAATCCCTTAAAACTCACTTATTACACAAAACACACAAATAATCATGACTTTACTAGTTGCATAATTCAAGTTAAACATGGTCAAGATTCTATGTCTGACTCAATATTTATCCTGTTTCAACATATTCCAATGCCTTTGTCCAAGATAAAACTACAAATAAAGAATTATAATTCTATATCTTCTTGCTGTGTGTGGCTAAGCAATACACAGGGTGGGACAAGCAGACATGAATTTCTAATTATTGAATTAATTAAAAAAATAATGTAAATATTTCATTTTTGAATTGAATTAAGGATCAGGTATTAAGGTAAATTTTACAATACAAAGTGTTCTTCTAAAATTATTTTCACATGCTGCCTATATATTTACAATAAAAAGTGATTTTTATATTTTACTGACAATTAAACATTCAGATTGGAATTGTTAAAGAAAATACATCAATCTTCTTCAAGTATGAGCCAGTAAAGCTATGGTTTCAACAGAGACTTCGGATAAGAAGTAGAATCATTTAATTTTCCATTGAAGGTGTATTATCTAAAACTGTTATTCTTGCCAAGACCACAAAAGTTGTTCCTCTTTTCTGTTGAGTTTACTGAAAGGTGACAGAGAAGAGTTATGTTTCTTGAACAACACACTATTCTTCTCATTTACCCCCCCCCCTCCCCCCCCCCCCCAAAAAAAAAAAATTAAAAAATATAAATTAAAAAAAAAAATAGAATAACTTATGTCAAGTAAAAATCTCCTAAGGAGTGACTATCCAATAAAGTAGAATGAAACCATTTTTGCTTTTTTCTATGCAGCACTCTTTACATTTATTCATGTACTTAAAATCAATATGTAATATCTAAAGCAGTAATTGAGGTGTAATATTATCTCCTATTTTTAGACATACATTACAAGCAATCCAGATAATTCTGAACTGAGAAAAAATTTCCTGTGCACTCAATCTCCTTATACAAAGCAGCCCTGCAAATGTGCAATAGTGACATGCATTACATCTTATAAAGTTCAGAAGCCATCATGCGTGTATCAATACATTGTTATCCTTTAGAAAATCAGCACACATATAAAATGTCTGACTGTCAATGAAGGGATAACAAATGAAATTACCAAACTCTATCCAGCAGCTTTTTAATGCACCACAACTTTTTCATCACTTGTATTATTGCTTTTTCCATGCATCAGTAAGATTTATGGGATAGTCTGCACATTGAAACTATGATATAAAGAGGCTAGAAATATATGAAATGCAGACAACAATAAAAATATGGCTCAATATATTATAACTGTGCCATTAAGTAATTAGTGGTATATGACACCCCTATTAGAGAGCAATACTTTTTATATCGGAAACAAAATTCCAGCATCAGTACTATGGGAAGTAAACCTCCATTTATTTGCATATGACAAGCTTAATGTGTCACTACATAGGAGACACAATAAAACTGAACATTATTCCAACAAGAGGCCCATGGGCCACATTGCTCACCTGAGCACATTGGCAAGGCAAAAGCACAAATCAGTTCAGTACTGAAAAGATTACGGGGGGTGGGGGGTGGGGGGGGGACTTGAATTTTTAACTACCTGATGATGCTTCCATGTCAATATAACAAATGGCTTTGTTGTACTTGAGAAGATTTTTAAAAAATTTCCCATATATTCCTTTGTAAAAATTTGATCCCCCATTGTGGCTCCTCCCTATCCCAGGGGTCATCATTTGAACAAACTTGAATCTACACTACCTGAGGATGCTTTCATATCAGTATGACTAAACAAAGCTTTTCTGTTCTTGAGAAGAAATTTTTTTCTATGTTCTTATGTAAAACTTTCGATCCCTCTATTGGGCCCCACCCTACCCTCGGGGGTCATCATTTGAACAAAATTGAATTTACACTACCTGAGGATGCTTCCATATCAAAATGACTAAACATGATTTTCAGTT